TGTAATATGTTTCCACGATATCACTGAATTTTAAAAATCATCACATTTATCTCTAAACCTTGCATTTCTAATTAATAGAATTACAAATTACAAAATTTAATGATAAATGAAGTGATTTTTAAAGTTTAGTGATCCTGTGAAAAGCTTTTACAAAATGACTATTTGAATAATTATTCGCAAATTCTCCAATAAAATAATATTACATATAAACTCAGACTTTTGTTTTATTTTTTAACTATACATTCTCTGAAAAAACATTATTCTAAAATACATTTTTCCCTTCTCTACAACGAAAAAAAAAAATCTAGGAAAATGAGTTGTGGAATAGTGATTTTTCGGAGAATATATGGTTGAAAATAATTAGTATTTTGTCATTGATTTTTTTTTCACACGCTATTAATTTTTCTTGAAAAATAAGTTTTGGAATAATAATTTTTTGAAGAATATGTAGTGAAAAAATGATTAGAATTTAGTCATGGCTTTTTTCTTTTTTCCTTTTTTTTCTTCTACCCGTTAATTTTTCCAAGACCTTTTTCTTTTATTTTCCTTTTTTTAGAGAGAAAGGAAAAACATATTTTGGAATAGTGATTTTTCGAAAAAAGTATATTTAAATAATAAGAAAAAATTTTGGGTTTATGTGTAACATTTTTTTATTGGAGAATGTGTAGACAATAATCCAAATGGTCACTGAACTTTGTAAAAAGTTTTCACAAGGCCCCGAAGCATTAAAAATTCCCACATTCATCACTAAACTATGAAATTTGTAATCTCGTTCATCATGGACCTTACGTAGTTGAATATTTTGATGTCAAATCAGCTGAAACATAGTGCATGCAGCCACGCATTTTGTCAAATTTTGGTCAATGACGAACGGGATTACATATTGCAAAATTTAGTGATGAATGTTGTAATTTTTAAAGTTCAATAATCCACTGAAAACATTTTGCAAAGTTGGCGGCAATTTGGGTTATTACCCACAACTAAATAATGCAAATGTTGACTGTCATTTGCATTTATATTTTATGTCTGTTTGAGTCCCTTTTTTTTTTTGGTTAAAAATGCATTTTGAAATGATAGATCGATGAAAAATGTGTGGTTAAAAATAAAGAAAAAAATTTGAGTTTGCTTATAATATTATTTTATTGAATAATGTGTAGTTAAAAAGAAGAGAGAAAAAATATATTTTGGAAATTATTGTACTGAAATTATTTATACGATTGATCATCAATTATTTTTATTAAATTCTTTAGTATAAATAAGAATTATTAATTATTTTTGGTATTGGCTAGCAATATTTTAATAAAGATTAGGGCTTATTTATCCAAAATAACTTCCATATAAAGTCATTGTCTTTGAAATGTCCAATACAATGCCTCTTTCTTGTTTAAACTTAAAACAATGGGCTAAAGATCAAATCCAATCAACTTGACCTTTTCGTCGATTACATTAAAAAAAGACCTGAAGATCTTTTCAATTAACCTTTATCAGATGAGTTGAGTGAAATTTCTCCAATTTATAATTTCTGTTTTTCTTTTAAATATACTTTTAATTATTATTTTTTATTGTAGATCGGACCGACTCTCGATCTACCTTTATCAACAATATATAGTTAATGATTTTTATCAATAATACTTATCCATTAATACCTTGAATAACAAGTAATAAAGACGTTTGATATTTTCAAATCAATTCACAATCTTATTCATGAACTCATATCCTCAATTCTATAAACAAATATTTCCCTCGCGACAAAAAGTCCGCCCCCAAATTAAAATTACTAAATTTTAATAAAAGTTGATAAAATGTGTAATTCAAAAATATATATAAATTACACACAGAGTTCACACCCTACTGAACTTCTATTATTTCTTGCCTTGACAAACTGTAAGTCTCTGTGTGTTTTTTCTCCTTCTCTCTGTATATGATGTATCTATGTTATTGGGTGTATGTTTTTAAGAATTGAGTTAAACATGTTTGTTGTGTCGCTAAAGATTCTTGAAGTTTTATTTTTTGGGGTTGAAAAGAGCATGAATAAGATCCCACTTTCTAGTTTCACCATTAGTATCCTTTCAATTGTGTTGTAAATCATCAACATATACAGGGCTTAAGGATCTCTGTGCGCGCGCGCTTGTTTTTTTCCTGAATTTCTCTGTGTATGAATTATCTGTGTTTATTCGGTATATGTGTTAACGTGAATTGATTTGAAAATGGTTGTTGGGGGTCCATAAAGATTCTGCAAGTTCATCAGAAATTTGAAATTTTGGGATAAAAAACGCATTTATAAGAACCCAATATATAGTTTCTCTTCTTTCAAA